GCGTGTGTGTGTGTGTGTGTGTGTGAGAGAGAGAGAGAGAGAGAGAGAGAGAGAGAGAGAGACGCTGAGCCCTGAGATTTGTGATTGGCGTCCAGATGAGACACGGTGTCGGACGCTTCCTCTTCGCCTTCCTCGTCTCCTTCCTCTCCATTTCCCCTCCCACCTAACTACTGGCTTCTTATCAGTCCTCGGTTTCCAGATGCTTAGCAGCTTAGGTGATACACTTGGTGATTGTTGCTAACTCGGTTGTCTGACGTCAACTACAACTATGGATTGTTGAGTCGAACGCCTGCTCTACCTGACCGTCTTCTCTTTGCCAATGCACCGTCCTTTGAAAGGTGGGCTGCCTGCCCTCCGCCCTCTTCCTTTCCGTCTGCGTGGCACCGTCTTTATCAGCGGTGCCATACTCTCTCTCAATAGCGTGCGTTCACCGTTATTCTCCTCGACATTGCGTGGGATGCGATCATCTCAATCCGGGCCAAATCTCACATCAAACACGTGGATTGGACTTCGACCACGTGGAGTCTAACTTGGACCATGTGGACGAAAGACGGATAATGCTGATCGAACCTTGATGACGTGGAGCGAACTTTGATGACGTGGATTGAATATTGATGACGTGGAGCGAACTTCGATGACGTGGAGCAGATTTTGATGACGTGGGACGATCTGGGACGTTGATTTCACTATCGATCACGTGGATCGGATATCCATGATGCGGATAAAGCTGAACAGCTTTGGACGTGACTTGGTGGTATAAGGTTATCAGTAGATCTGATGCTGTTGCGCGTCTCTGCGGATTAATTATCACATTGACAATTGCACGAAGGTGTGGAAGGCTAATCACTCGACGACGAGAAGATCATCCTACGGTGATTGATGACAGCGTATGGAAGCCGCAGCGTTCGGGACGTGTAAGCGGTGCGTGCGGGATTATCTGTCCTGCCATGCCAGATCGACCTGGACGAACGTGGTGTGATGCCGGCTGGAAGCGACAGGCTAAGGTAGCGGCAGCGCCGGCAGCGCTCGCCGCGTCTAATCGGTCCGTTAGATGAGGAACAGCCCTCCCACGTCAGATCGACCTTAGCTAGCGCACGTGCTGTGACAATTATCGAACCAATTCATTCAGCAATTCACCAATCAATCCGGCCACTTGGAATAACAACCCTGCCACTTGGATTAAAAGTCCTGGCACGCCACGCGGAGTAACATCCCTTACACGTCAGGCTTTATATATCGTCACAAACAGAACTGCCCGGTAAAACCGTAGGCAGAGAGAGAGAAGAGGACAACAAACGAGGGGCTGTGACAAATATATATAGATATATATTTGACGATATATATATATACATATATATATACTCCGACGAAACAGTTTGTCACAGCCCCTCGTTTGTTGTCCTCTTCTCTCTCTCTGCCTACGGTTTACCGGGCAGTTCTGTTTGTGACGTGTTTGTGACGATATATATATATATATATCGTCAAATAGAACTGCCCGGTAAACCGTGGGCAGAGAGGGAGAAGAGGACAACAAACGAGGGGCTGTGACAAACTGTTTCGTCGGAGTTTCACCGACTCATCAGGTATATA